GGTTAATACTGTATTAAAAGCTGTTCATAGTATTGTAGAAATGCCAACTGATAAAGTAGTTTTTTATACTCTTTTTTAGCTTTTGATTCTCTTTGCTAGTTTTTTATTCTCACTGCAATAAAAGAATTTTGTAGTGTTTGAATGTCTGCTGTACTTATCTTTATTCTGGGCATGTATTCAAATGAACTAATACCCGGGGGCACAGCTCTTTGGGGCAGGAGACGGGCAGCACCCTTGCCAGGACTCGGGGCGGTGGCAGGTCTCCTTGGGCCAGGACTTGCCACGGCTGCTGATTTGGGTGCAGCCCTGGCCAAAGGGCTCCCAGCAGCATTGGTGCCCTTGCCCACACCTTCCTTCTCGGTGTCACCCCCCGTGTTTAGGATGGCCACCAGCCAGCACTTCTCCCAAGGAGGCCGTGGCAGCTTGTGTGGAAGGCCCCGTGCCCTTCCCGCTGCAGCTGCGTCGGCAGCCGAGGGGGCTCCTTGTGCTGCCGTGAGCAGGCACAGGAGGGGAGTGTTTGCTCATTTCTTGGACCGTTCCCACAGTTCAGGTCCAGCCAGATTAGATACTTCAGAGAGCGGATTCCCTCCAAGGTGGGGCAGGTTGGCTGGGCTGGGGGAGGCCCCAGGCCAGGTGGCACTGTGTCACAGGCCCCTTTGTGACACGCTGGCCATGGCCGGTGGGATGGAAGGGGGCAGGGTGTCGAAGGGCCCTTTATGACCCGTGGTGACAGAGGTGCTGCTGGTGACACGGCCGCAGTGTCAACAGTGCTCCTCGGAGCAGGCGACGGGACAGGACGGGACAGAGCGGAGCTGTGCGGAGCCCCCGCGCAGCCAACTCGTGCCTTGCTGACCCGGAGCTTTTTGGAGGATTTTCTCGCTTCCAGGTGCCTTCGAGGCCTTTTTGTGTGACTTGGAGACCCGGAGCTTCTCCGAGGCGTCTCCAACCCCTTTGGCAGGTGCCCTCGAGGCCCTGCTGCAGGACTTGGAGATCCGGAGCTTCTCCGAGCTGTCTCCAATCCCTGTGGCAGGTGCCCTCGAGGTTTTTCTGCAGGACTTGGAGACCCAGAGTTTCTCCGAGGCGTCTCCAATCCCTGTGGCAGGTGGCCTCAAGGCCATTCTGCAGGACTTATTGACCCGGAGCTTCTCCGAGGTGTCTCTCTTGCAGGTGCCCTCGTCACCAGACTGTGGCATGGCAGGGAGACGCTTCAGCCTGCTCAGGCTGCTCCGGAGGAAGAAGGAGGAGGAAAGCCCTGGGGCTGCTCCAGCACAGCAGCCTGAAGAGGTGCAGCAGGTGCAGCCCCCGCAGGAGGGTGAGTGCTGGAGCTGGGCCACAGGGCTGGTGGCTGCAGCCCGCTTGGCCTCATCCTGTCCCATCCCCTCTGGACATGCCCAGGGAAAGGGAGGGGGGCAGAGGGGCCGGGGCTGATCTCCCGGCAGCCCTGCTCCATCCACTGGGCATCCCGGGGCTGGCCCTGCCTGCTCCTGGAGCCCAGGCCTGGGCTGTGTTCTCCGGCCTCTCCCGCACACCCTCAGCTCTGAGCGCGCTCGCTCTTTGCCAGATGCAGGCCAGGAGCGGACAGAAGAGCAGCTCCGTGCCCATGGCCGCCTCCGCAGGGCAGCACAGGTACTTGCAGCCATCCCCTCCTGGGCTGGACGTGCTGTCACTGCTCAGCCCAGCACCGCTGTCGCAGCCCTCCAGGGGACATCCCTCTCTTCCTTGCCTTCCTCCTGTAGCTGGTTTGCAGATTCATCAGGTGCATTTGGCGTGAAGAGACCACTTTCATGGCCACTGGGGGCACGGCAAACTCGGACCTCTTCAATGCCCAGACCAGCGCTGCCCTGCTGGATTTGCTTGTGGAGAACGGTGTCTACAAAGGGAAGCAAGTAAGCAGCCTGTGGCCAGGGCTCCAGTGCCCCAGGGATGCTGTGACCCCTCACGCCGGCTGCGCTGGGCTCCCTCAGCCTTTGAGACCAGCAGAGTGTGGTGGCAAGGGGAGCACTTCTTGGGGGAAGCTGGGCAAGTTGCTGGCTCTGGCAGCTCTCCAACTGTTCCCCGTGTCCCCTCCAGGTGCCGGCCATAGTCAGGTGCATCCACCAGTGGCTCACGTCCAATGTGTCTGCTGAGCACAGGCTGGACAAGACTCTTGTCCTGCTGACCGAGGCACACCCTGTGGATGTTGCAGTGACCCTGCTGCGCTCTGCCCCAGCCTGTGACAGGTATGGGGCCCACCTGCCTTGAGGGCTCCCCTGCCTTTAGACCCCATCCCCCTGGGCAACCTGTCCCAAATGGTGTGCCAGAGAGATGGAGACTTCCAAGACACTCCAGCTCCTCTCTTTGCCAGCTTTGGCATGTCAGCCCCCAATCCTGAGGCCAGCCTGCCTCCCTGCCCCACAAGGCACCGTGGCTCTGTCACCTGGGCCCTGCAGCTGCCCAGGCCACGGTGCTGTGTCCCAGACGCCCCTGAGCCAGAGTTCTGACTCCACAGAGCTGCTCGCACCATGTGGAGGACGCTCATCTCCTCCAGAGGGACTAAGGAGCCGGTGCTGCAGATCCTCTTCCGTGCGCTGGAATTCTGGCCAGCGCACAGGACACGCACCTCTGATGGGGATGAGAGCGATGTCTTTGCCCTGGCTGTGAGTTTTTTGAGCTGGCCTCTGCTCACCCCCAACTTGCCTCTGGGATGCCTTTTCATCCTCCCTCACCACTGCTTCTCCCTGCCCCAGGCACTGGGCTGCAACCCTGGCTTAGGGGCAGGTTCAGGGCCACCAGGCCGGGGGATCCCCCTGTGTCTCCCCTGGCCTCTCCCTGCCACGCTGGGGCCCGGCCACATGGACATCTGGGCCCTGAGAGCTGTCTCTGGGTGCTTATTCTTTCGCAGGCAACTGTGGCACTCTGGGAGATCCTCCAGCTGCACTGGTGCCCAGGGGGAGTGAAGAACAATTTCCCCCGCCTCCTTCTGACTCTGCTCTTCCAAGTTTTCATCAGCACAGAGGAGATGTCAGAGGAGGTCGAGACCTTCTGGGGGCGATGCCGGGAGCAGCGCAGCCTTCCCCCCAACCCCAACAGGTGCTCCATCCCAGTCCTCGCTCCCTGCCACGCCCTCGGGGCTGGGGCCAGGGCTCTGCGCCTGACCTGGGCTGTGCTCTGCACACAGGTTTGCAGTGCAGACCGTGAAAGCCCTGCTGCGCCAGCTGCTGGATGAGGACGTGGTGATGGTGATCCATCGCAAGTGTGGCTGGGACACGCTCCTCAAGGCTGACACCCACCACTATGCAGTGGGTCTGCTGGCCAGGTGAGAGCCCTTTCTCCCCCCTGCCCCCGGCATTTCTGCCCTGTGCACAGGCCACCCCACACAGTGCCCGTGCTGCTGGGCCAGAGGGCCTTGGCAGCCAGGGATGGCTGAGCAGAGTGGCAAAGGCGGAGAGGGGCGGCTGCACAGGAGGAGCCACCTCCCAAAGCGCCCATGTCCCCTCCCGTGCTGGTAGCCAAAGACCATGCCTGTGTGCGTCAGTCCCAGGAGAGCTTTGCCCACCTGGCTCAGGGTCTCTGGTGCCTTTATTCCCCCTTGCAGGGAGCTGTGCCGTGTCTCCCACTCCTTCTGCCGCAGCGTCGCCGCCAGCCTGATCCCGCGGCTCAGCAGGGAAGAGCCCCTGTGGGAACTGCCTGCCCTGGCATTCCTGGTGGAGGTGAGCCTGATGGCGAGCGCTGCCTGGCCCAGCTGCCTCCCCCTCTCTGCCCTCTCACAGCCGCAGCCACCTGGGACGGTGCCTGCACCCTGTGCTGCTGCCTGGGCCCAGCCCCGGGCGGGTCCGGGCTCCTGCCGGCCGGGCACCCCGTCACTGCTCCCTGCCTTTCAGGTGCTGCACTGCCTGAACCCCAGACAATGCGGGCTCAGCGTCCTGCAGATTATTTCAAGGCGCCTGCGCAGTGAGTGCCCCGAGAGGCGTCGCCTGGCGCTCCGAGGCCTGGTGGTGATCAGCAAGGCTCCCGCACTGGTGAGCAGGGGGCAGGGGCTGAAGCCGGGCCGGCAGCGTGCGGCCGTGCAAGGCAGTAGCTTGGCCTTGGCTGGCCTTTGGCAGCTGTGCCAGCTGCTCCCAGCTCTCCTCCTCCCCGTTCAGCTGCCCGACTCCTTTGGGACGCGCCTTTGGCCTCTGGGCCCCGCAGCAGCAGCGTGGGGCTGCACCACAGCATTGTCTTCCACACAGGCTAAGAGCATCTGGAGCCTGAATGAAGGCCTCCTGGAGCTACTGCAGGATGCAGACACAGACGCGGTTGAGATGACCCTCTCTGCGTTGATCAATGTGCTGCACTTGAAAGTCATCCAAGTATCCAGCCCCACTGCCCTTAAATTGCTTGAGGCGCTGCGGCCACTCTTTGACAATGTAAGGCTCTGTGTCCCTCATCGTGGGCACTGAGTGCTGCCAGGAAACTTTGGGCCCAGTGTCTTTTCAGGCCTGTGCCCCAGTGGGCCTGGAGAAGCCAGGGCTGAGGTCTTTCGCTCTTTCTTTGCAGCAGGAGCACAGCCAGCTGCAGCAGCTCTCCATGGTCCTCTTCCGGAAGGTGATGCAGGCAACAGAGAGGAGCAAGAGCCTAAAGCCACACGTGTACCTGAGGCTGGTGCCATTCTACTTCAACTGGCACGATGAGAACCAGCGTGTGGCAGAGGTGAGGACTCGTGGGCTCTGGTGTCCCCATGGCAGGAGGCTGCTGTGCCTCCTGCCCTGGCCCATGGTCGCCTGCAGCCTCCTCCTGGCCTTGGTGCAGGGATGCGGGTGCTGTGCCCTGGGCTGCGGTGCCATGGCCCGCTCTCTGTTGCTCTGCAGGCCTCTCGGGAAGCACTGTTTGGTGCAGCCAGGTTCCTGAAGTGGAGGGATCTTGAGCACTTGGTGACCATGGAGCAGCCCTGGAGGTTTGGCGAGTGCCTGGTAAGGACGGCCCCAAAGCCCCAGTCCCTGGCTCCCCAGGAGCACCCAGCCCTCTGCTCCCCCCAAAGCCCGGCCCCCGCAGCTGCTGGCCGGGCCTCAGGGCTCTGCGGGCAGGGGAGCCCCGTGCTGGGGGCAGGGAGCGCCCGGCCAAGGGGCAGAGCCTGAGCCGAGCCTTCCCTCCCTGCCCTGGCGCTCTTTGCAGCTGGAAAAGGACAGGAGCCGAGTGGGCCAGTACGTGCGCCAGGCCCTGCCGTACCTGGAGAGCCCAGAGGAGCCCCTGCGAAAGCTGGCCATCAAGTTCCTGGGTGAGCCACAAGGCCGGGGTCCCTCCCCGCCCCGCTGCAGCTCGGCCCCAGCCCCGGCTGCTGCAGCGGCAGCAGGATGCGGCCCAGGGCATGTGGAGCCCCGAGTGGCCTGGGGCCTGCTGCCGCCCTGGGCCAGCCCAGCCCTGGGGCGTCCCCATGGGGGGGACCTGTGCCTCTGGGGCCCTGACAGCCTCTGTCTTCCCAGGGATCGCCGCCAGGTCCATGAAGCAGGAGCAGCCAGAGCTGCAGCTCATCTGCCAGGGTGAGGGAAGGCACCTTCCAGCTGATCCCCTTGGGCCCTGCTCCCTCCTGGCCATGGCAAGAGCTGCCTGGGATGGCCCGGCCAGGAGGGGCTCCTCGCGTCCCCCCACCCCTGGCCTCACCTTGGCTCTCTTTCCTTTCTCTTCCAGCCCTTCAAGGCATGACTGATGACAGCCCTGCCGTTTCAAACCTGGCACTTCAAACGCTCCACATCATCAGAGCTGTACGGAGAACTCCATTCTTCCCATTCTGGTAGTCTCCATTCCTGCCTCTTCCAGCCCGTAGAGGCGTGACAGGTGACATCAGACTCGCCATGGCAGGCCTGGCAATTCAACACTGCTACGTGCTAAGAGCTGTACAGACGGCTCCCTACTCCAGATTCCAGCGGCTCCAAGACTGGCTGTGCAGGGCGTGGAAGACCCGGCCTTTTCCACAGGGCAGTGTCTGCCTGTGCTGCTGCAGCTCTGTGGAGAACTGATGCGGGAAGCTCCATCTCCTGGGGCCACGTGAGCCTGTGGGGAAGATGCCTCTTCCCTGCAAGCACCTCCTTTGAGCCCAGCATGGGAATACAACCAACATGTTATCACAAACAGAGGCCCAGGAGCTTTTTTTTGGTGCCCAGTGTGCACAGGGCCTTGGGGAAGAGGGGAAAAGGGCTCCTTGTGCTCAGCAACACTTGCCCTGATGTGCAGCATGCCAGCAAAAGTGAGAAGAAGCCCCTTGGCCTTTGGTGGCTCTCCTGGAGCCTCAACACTTGCAGCAGAGTGGAGGGGCAGAGGCTGGAGGTGTGGGGATCCCTGAGGACCTTGTCCTTGGAGATGGCCACAAGCCCTCCCCCAGGCAGGAAGCAGCGTCTCTGTCCTGCCTGTGTGTTGCTGGCTGGATTGCTCCGGGCTCCCAAGTGCCTCTGGAGCGGCTCCTCTGGAGCCCCTTCAGGGCTGCGCCGCTGCCGGGCAGGTTGGCGGGGCTGGGGGAGAGCCGCAGGGGAGGGGGCGCTGGGAGGCCAGGAAGGGGTGAGGTGCTGCAGAGGCCCTGATGGGACAAGGGAGCGGGAAGCCTTGAGGGGAATCTGGGAGGGGGTGGGTGGCAGAAGGCTGCGAGGGGACAGACTGGGCAGAGTCCCCGAAAGGCAGGGTGGAGGGAAAAGGCCCCAGGACTTGGGGGGCAGAGGCCATAGGCAGCCCCCAGGCAACCACCTCCTTCCCTGCCAGCCGGCTGCTCTGGTGCTTTCCCGAGGCATCTCCCAGCCCTGTGGCAGAAACCCTGGAGGCCTCAGCAGCAGGGTGGGCACAGCCCCAAGGGGGCCAGGCTGGCCTGGCTGGGGACAAGGAGGGCAAGGGGGCCCTGCTGGGGTACGTCTGCCGGGTGCTGCCGGCCAGGGGCAGTGGCACGGGCAGGGCTGGCGGCCAGCCCGGGCCCCCGCGGCTGCCCAGGCCACGGGGCTGTGGCCGACACCCCGCTGAGCCAGAGCTCTGGGCCCGCAGAGCTGCTGCCACCACGGGCAGGGCGCTGGGCTCCTCGGGCAGGCCTGCGCACTCGCTGCTGCCCAAGCGGCTCCGCGCCCCACACACAACAGCACCAGAGGCTGCCCAGGAGCAGCAGCACCCACAACGCCTGGGCCTCCTCACCCAGGCACCCACACCCGCCAGGACGCCAAAAGTGGCCAGACTGTGGGCACAATTGCACCCGCTTTGGCAAAAGGCTTCAGGCCAAGTGGCCACCACAGCTTTCCAGTGACTCCCCAGCCTCACAGCAACCCTGGGCAGCTTCAGCTGCAGCCTGTCCTCCTGACTGACTTCAATGGCCCTGCTTGAGGCTGGACGTGCCTTCCACACTCAGCTGTCCCCAGCCAGCGCCATTGGTGCCATCCTTAGAGACTCTGCTGGGACACCAGCCTCGGGCTGCAGCTGCTCAACCTCTCCTCCACGCAGGCACCTTCAAAACACGGGCATGGGCTTCTAAACTCTACGTCCAGCACTTGAGGGCAACAAAGGAAGAAGCAGCGGAAGCTGAAGCAAAGCAGGGCCTCATGTGGCGGAGCTTCAGGGATGGAGGCAAGGAAGCACTGTGGTGTCTGCTGAAAAGATGGCCCCGTTCACCAGCTCACACTTTGCTGCTGGACGCTCCTCCTTTGGTCCTGCCGGAGCCCATTCCCTACCAGTGCATGGCCCTGCCTTGTTCCTGGATCCAATCTCCACGACCCCTGGCAACAAGTGGGCCCTGTGTCCACCTGAGAGCAGAAACTGGCAGAACGTCTCTGCTTCCAGCACTTCTCTTGGCTGCTCCTTCAGGCGGGTGGCACCTTCATGGGAGACACAGAACAACTTCTCATCCCAGACTTCTCCCTGTCCCCTGCACTTCCCCAATGGACTGGACATCAGCTGCTGGCCACAGCTGAGCACACAGCAACTGGAGTGTTGA